GAGTCCCCTGAGCTCCTTCTGCAGCGCTTTCCACCAGGCCACCTACAACAAGCAGCCCATGTACCGCAAAGCCATCTACGAAGTGCTGCAGGTGGCCAGCAGCCGGGCCGGAAAGCTGTTCCCAGCGTGCCATGACAGCGATGAGAGCGACACTGCCAAGGCCGTGGAGGTGCAGAACAAGCAGATGATCGAATGGGCCCTCGGAGGGTTCCAGCCCTCTGGCCCCAAGGGCCTGGAACCACCAGAAGAGGAGAAGAACCCATACAAAGAAGTTTACACAGACATGTGGGTTGAACCCGAGGCAGCTGCCTATGCGCCACCCCCACCAGCCAAAAAGCCCCGGAAGAGCACCACCGAGAAGCCCAAGGTCAAGGAGATTATCGACGAACGCACAAGAGGTAGTTAGCCTGGCTCTGGAGAGAGTGGCGTGGCGAGGCTGGCATGCAGAGGAGTGGGTGAGGCCCTCTCGCCTCCTCTGATGCTGGGCTTCCCTCCCTCCGCAGAGCGGCTGGTGTACGAGGTGCGGCAGAAGTGCCGGAACATCGAGGGTGAGTCCAATGCACTGGACAGCGGCTCCCTGGGACGGGCAGGTGGGCTGGCTCCCAGTGGGCTGCCTGGGGCAGAGGCGCGGCTGCTGAGAAAGGCTGGACTGGGACATCAGGACTCGGTCACAGGGTCAGTCCTGCATGTGTCACCACCTCCAGCCTGCATCACACACACTCTGTCTTCTGGTGCCAGAATCTGACTGACCTGTTGATGGTGTCGGCTGGTATTCGGATTTGGGACACTCCAGTGGGTCCCAGAGGGGACCCCTCTTGTATTCGATTGAATTTGCCTGAACCTGACCTTCTGGCCTTACATCTCTCATCACCTTCTCTCGTCCAGCGGTCATTCGCATCCCACCTCTGTCTCCCTTGGCCTAGTGATGGTGTGTCAGGCTCAGGGCCTCAGGCCTGGGGGGGATGGGGCAGGGGCCCAGGACGTAAGGTCTGCCAAGGACCACCCCCATACCCAGGGCAGGGCCCCGTTCTCCTTGGCGGTTCCTTTCCCTGTATGATGCCCCTCCTGGAAGGTGGCATCGATGCTCTGAGAGAGGACAGGGCTTCTGAAATGGGGGCCACAGTGCCTCCCTGTTGCCCGAGGCAGCTCCAGCACACCCCCTTTTTGTAGCTTTTCGGGAGCTGGCTCTTGTCCGAGGCAAGAGGGGGCCCTGCAGTGCTGCTCACTTTGCTTTCTCTGCTTTCCAGACATTTGCATCTCTTGTGGGAGCCTCAACGTCACGAGGCTCCCGGGACAGCCCAGGATCAGCTGCACCAGCAGGGCGTCCGCATGGGCGCCCAGACCTCTGACCTTTGGAACAGGAAGCAGCCTGGAGGGGGGTGGAAGTGGGACAGCTGCCGGAGGAGATAGATCTGGACGGGAGGCCCTGCTCCCCCAGAGTGGGGTTACCAGTGGTTTTCCAGGCAGAGTGGCTTCCTTGGGCCACATGGGGGGCGGGGGGGAGCGGGGGGCGTGTAGTATCTCCCTGATCAGGCCCAATCTCTCGGCCACCCTGGAGTGGGGTGTTCTGATCTGAGGGTAGGAGCCTTAGCCCAAATGCCAAGGTTCAGTTAACCCTTCTTTCTCCCATTGTTTGCCCCAGGGAGATGGGTTGGAGTGAACGGGGGGAAAAAGGCATTCCCTCACTACCTTGGGCAGACTCCTCTAATGAGGCCCCTCCCCCACCCAGCCACCGTCGCTGCCCCTTCTTCCCCTTTTCTCTTGCCTCCTGCTGCTAACCCACCCCTTCTTCCTTCCCCTGCCCCCGCTGGCCGTGTCACGATGGAGGCCCCCTTCCTCCTCTGCCGCCGCCGCCTGCCAAAAACTGTTGTGGGCGCGTGTTCTCCTGCACCTAGTGGGTTGGGGGCGCTTCGTAGCCGTCAGCAGCAGCGTCTGACAAGCTGGGGGAAGTTGTGGGGGAAGAATAATGTTCAGGAACTGGCTGGGGGTGGGGGGGAGAGAGACAAAGGGGCTGTGGGGGAGGACGAAGGGTGGTGTCAGGCACGACTCTACCCACTCTTCTTGAGTCTAGACCTGGGGAGCCCAGCACCCACCCACCGTTGCGCTTGCTGTGGAAGTGACTTCAGCTCCTTCCCTCAGAGGGCCCCTCTCCCTCCTGCCCTCCGCTACCTACACACCTTGTTCTGGTTGAGGGGCCCTGTCACCGTGAGCAGGGTCTTTGGGTCATAGGATAGCAGCCTGGTCTAGATCAGTCAACGTGACTGAAGTTGGAGGAGGCAGAGAGAAGGGAGCAGAACCGCTAGTCATGTTGCTCATCTGAAGGGGCCTGGTGCCGGGTCGGCTGCCCCAGCTGAAGGTTCTGGAGGAGAATCCTCCTCCCGCCGGGGGGTAGAGTGCCCGGGGGTTGAGTGCCGATCCAGTCACATCTTGTGGGGGAGGTGGTGGTGGATAATTGAAAGTAGGTAGGAGAGGACGAAGTTCCACCAGGTGCCAGTGAGAACGGGCTAGGGTGGTGTGAGCAATTACTCTGCATTCTTCCACCTCATTCTCCCAGCTGTCTGTGGGCAAAGAGTACATGATCCCATTTTAGAATTTGTTGAGTCAGAGAAAGAACTAGGACTTCTATCATTCGTGTTTTAGGGATCATTACAGGAAGCCGATTGGCCCAGAAACAAAGACTTGAGGATTGAATGAAATGAATCGACGAGAGTAGACCATTGCGTTTAAGACCAAGGTTTTTAACCTGGAACCCTGTGATCTGGGGCTTCATTAACAGGTTTGGGCGCATCCCTGGAATTCTTGATAGTCAGAGAAGGTTAACAGAAACCCTTCCATTTAAATGCCTTTTTAGGTTGGAGCAACTCAGAAGAGAAGGGGCTGCTCCGAAGTCAGCTGTGAATGAGTTGCAAGGCTAAGAGATGTCGATGCTCTGACTTCCAGCGTAGAGCTCTTGTAGTCCATGGTGCTTTCTGATGCTTTTTTCTTTCTCATAAGCTCTGGGGGAGAGCTTCATATTGAAAGGCAGATGGATGGGATTTCCTCTCCGAACCTGGTGTGGTGGGAACGGGCACGGAGCCCTGAGTTTGAGGGCCGCGTGTTCTAGATTCGGTAGCTGGGGTGAGATGAGGTTGGCCGGCCCTCAGAGCTGTGTATCCAGGATCTCCTGCTCCCCTGTAGGCTGCACCTTTGGGAGCAGGTGGTGAGAAGGAATGGGGCAGAGTCTGAAAGATGGAGTCTGAAATGATGAAAGGTTGGAGGCTGTCCAACTAGGACAGTGGTTGGGTTTGGTTGGGTTTGTCGGTGCGATGGCAGAGAGGATGCCTGTGCTCAGTAAGAAAGTGTTGAAAGAATAAGTGTATGGATATATGGATCTGAAAGGCACACAGAGAAGGGAGGGGTGAGTCTGGTAACAGAATGCACAGTGGATTTAATCCTAAGAACTCCAGCCTGGAAGCAGGTGAGCTCGGACGGGGCTTTGCGTGGTGCTCCAGCAGGTGGGGAAGGAAACGTGGCACTGATTTCCTCATAGCGGACCCGACAACAGAACTGGACTCGTGGTCGGGGAGCCACACAGATTTCCTGGCTGCCCAGGGAAATTGTGGAGAAAAGGGTGAGAAGTGCAGTTCTTGGCTGGGAAATATGACAGGAGAGGATGGAGCCTAAACGAAGGTGCACGTTTCAGATCTGAATAGAATTAGCCTTTCCACGCCAGAGGGTGGGTGAATGATAATGGTGATAAACTGGGAAAGATCAGACCAGGAAGGAAGACTTCCTAAGGGGCAGAGGAGAAGGCTGGAATGGAGCCAGATGATTGGAGTTTGCCTCTCAACTTCGGATCTCTCTGTTTTCCACGGCAGGCCAGTTGAGTTGATGAGGGAAGAACTCTCTCCAGCCCTTGACCTCCCACCACTGTCTCCAGCCCAGAAAGAGGTTGCGAGGAGCGCCCTGAGTGTGAGGTGGCCTTGCTGATTCCTGGAGAGGCCAAGGTAACTTCTGTCCCTTCTTTCCCCAGGCTGAGAAGAAAGCCAAGGTGATTGCAGTAATGAACGCCGTGGAAGAAAACCAGGGGTCCGGCGAGTCCCAGAAGGTGGAGGAGGCCAGCCCTCCTGCAGTGCAGCAGCCCACTGACCCCGCGTCCCCCACTGTGGCCACCACCCCTGAGCCTGTGGGGGCTGACACAGGGGACAAGAACGCCACCAAAGCAGCCGATGACGAACCAGAGTACGAGGTGAGCGGCTGGCTTCTTCAGCTGCCTCGTCCAGCTTTGTCTTGGGTCCCTCCACTGCCAGCTCGCCCCACTCTTCAGGCGTTCTCCTCCAGTCCTCCCCCTCCTCGCACCTTCTCCCACCTTTGTTACTGGGAGCCTGCCCTCCAGCCTGTCCCTCCAACCCCCCATGCATGTTGCCCCCCAGGTGGCCAGCAGCCGGGCCGGGAAGCTGTTCCCAGCGTGCCATGACAGCGATGAGAGCGACACTGCCAAGGCCGTGGAGGTGCAGAACAAGCAGATGATCGAATGGGCCCTCGGAGGGTTCCAGCCCTCTGGCCCCAAGGGCCTGGAACCACCAGAAGGTCAGCACCGGGGCCCAGCCAGGCCTTCTGGACCCCTGCCAGCCAGGCCTGGAAAGCCATGCTGAGGGAGGGCTGCCCAGGCCTCCGTCGATGGGCCATGGTCTCCCTCCC